AAAAACAAACACACCAACAACTACAAGTAAATTAACTTAACATACCTCCAAAACGTGCTTCACCACCGAAGCCCCACAGTACCTCAGAGCCTCGTCCCATGCGTGACGCTTGTCCACTTCGGGGAAGATGGCATTGATAAACCTCCTAGCCCCCGTCATGTTCTTCACCTCGAACAAACTGCTCTAAAAAGGCAAAGAGGGAACAAGGCCCTTTCCTTTGACAGGAGCTCGTACCTCAACCCCCTCTTTAGACTCCCTGAGCTCAGGGTCGAGCTCAACAGGAGGAGGCTGAGGCATGAACTGGGGAACCTCGCTCCCCCTCTCTTCTTCCTCCACCACCCTCTTCTTCCTTTGTAGGGCCCCTTCCTCCTCCCTACCCTTCCTCTTCAACTCCAGCCTTGGCACCTCCTCCTCCATCCCGGTTGAAATGCTGGGCACTACCTCCCTCTTAACTACCCCCTCATCCACTCCTTTAGTTGAAGTCTTTAACTTCTTCCTTGGCTTCTTAGGGATGGCCACTCCTCCAGCAGCGTTCAAAAACTTGTCCATTTTAGCTGCAAAATAGAAAAACACAGTGTCAATCATAGCTCTATACTCTACATTAAATACTATAATATAAATCTAAACAAGCCTTCACTTAAAGCGCTTGACCCATAGAGCTCAGCAGCTTCTATGCATTCTGCGCCGGTGAGGTACATGATGTTCACTAAATTCCCCCCTTCCCTCACCAACTTCCCCACCTCTTCCTCCTCATCCTCATTTAAACGAAACTTATTCTGGTTTGCTCTCTTAGCCTTCAAGGAAGACAACAGTTCTACCTCGACATCCCCCCTCTCCCATTCTATATCATCTACAAAGAAAAATTTTTCCTTCCATCCTTTAATGGATGAAGGACCCGCAGTAAATAAAGTCCTACTCTCCCTATTTGCTACCCTAGGGGTGAAATAATACCACCCTTTATCTTTTCTACTACCCCTTTTTAAAACAAAAAAATACTTAAACATATTTACAGTTGGCACATTAATCCCCTAAGCTCGGCAATAAACTAAAAATCCTATTATTACCCTCATAGCGTTGGGTACTAATTGTGCCAACCCTATACTATAATCTAACAACAAACCCACTAGCAACTCAAGAATTGGAAACCTAAGCCCGACTACCAAATAGTGGGCATACACGGGCATCCAATGGTCCCGAGGAGCAGAACACGCCTTCTCCTCTACCCTAGCTGGCCTAATCAACACTCGAGATGAGATCTCATAACTCTCCACCAAATACCCCAAGTAGACTTGGCAATTTTTTACCCAACCCATTAACCCGCCCATTTAAAACAGGTTAGGGTCATATATTTATGACCCATTAAGAGAACCCAAACGGTCACAGGTCAATAACGGGTTGACCCATTGGGTTAATAGGTTTGACCCGTTTACCTGTTTAAAAATATATAATTTTTTAATTTATTATTTATTTATTTCGTTTTCCAATTCCCAATCCCATCTAAACCTCTAATAATTGACTAATATTCCCTAATTAACTAATTGATTCTCTTGACTCATCATCTTCTAGAAGTAAAAATAATCTCACTCCACTCATACCTCACCTTCCGACTTTTCCTATTCTTACTTGCCCTAATACTCTCGAAGACTCTAACTCTTCAAACTTCAAACTCTTCTCATATTCTTCAACCTCCATAGTTTATACAGCCTTTGACTTTCAAGCTTCGACTCCACCTTTTCTCTTTAGTCTTTAACATTATTTCAGACTTAAATCTTAGTCTTATCAAGTCACCATTGCGTCCACTCAGCCTTTTCTTTTTTTCTCCTATGTGTCTGGCAAGTGCTCTTTTTGTCACCAACTTTTCTCTCTAAATACTTCAAGGTAAGTTATTTACTTATTTATGCTTTTTAGTTTTCTTTCCATTCCAAGCAAAAATTTTACTTGATTTTCTCCTTTATTTACTTACATGCATTCAATTGATTATTCTTTGAAAGCAATAACCAAAACAAATATGTTCCAAC